ATTTTACCTCACAAATTTCTCATCAATTCTGCCTTAATCTGTTCCACTCTTACTGTTATTCCTAATGTCAAATGTATTCCCAAGGTCTCAGGCCTATTTCTTTCCTCTGCTCTCCCCTTGTCTTCATCCATTCTCTAGTCCATCCTTGGGGACTGTCCTAAAACTACATTTTGTTTGAATCTGGCACTGTACCTGATATGAAAGGAGTGTCAAATACAGTTGTCCCTAGGCATCTTCAGTGGACTGGCTCCAGGGTGCCTGGCTCCAGAAAACCAAGCAGATACAAAAATTCCAGGATACTGAAGCTACACACTGTTTTGCAACAGCAGATGTGCAAGTGACTGCCATTTCCAAAACAATGAAATGTTTCAGAACTGAATTTCTGACCAAGAGAGTCCTGCCATATAGACCTTACTTGAGTTTTAGATCCATAACCAAAAAGAGAATGAGAACTATTAGCAAAGAACCCACAGCACTTATGATAGCATGCACAAAACCTGTGCCAACCCAAGCCAAACAGGGGCTCAAATGGATAGGGAAGGTGGGCAGGAGACCCTAGTCCTAGCTGAGGATCTACTGGCAACTGATAACTGGCGGAAGAGTGTCAATTCTCCTTATTGCTGTGACACCTGGTAGGTTGAACAGGCTCCAGGACATGGACCCACACCCAAGAGCATTTGGGGATGGCCAGCTTAGACTCAATAGGCCTTTTAAAAAAAAAAAAAAAAAAAAAAAAAGAAATGGAGGACATGGGGGTAGCAGAGAAGGGGGGGAAATCAATAAAATTATTTTTTTTAACAGCAACAACAAAAAAAATCTGACAACTCTGTCACTATTACTAGGCCCTGGTATAAGTGGCTATAAATTTGGGCCAGCAAGAGTCTCCCTGCATTATCAAATCTGCATTAACTGTGCATTCCAAGTCACTACACAATAGTGACAGGAAGACAAAGTGAGGACTAGAGTAGACAGCAAGAATGCAAACCAGCATCAGACAGACCTCCAGGAGGTTATAGCTGCAGTGTGTTTACCTTTAAGGCTCTAATTTCCTCACTTAGAAGACGGTGGTGTCTACCTCACAATTTTGGTATGAGGGTTGAGTGAGGTGACACATGCCAACACAGTGCCAGACATCATTAAGCATAAAAACATTTTTCTTCCTATAATTACAAACCTTTCAACTTTGAATTCCTACAGATTTCCTAAATCTAGGAACAATTAAATGACAATTCTTTAGCTGTCTGAAGTAAACCAGTTTTCATTTTCAAAATCTTATAAAGGAAGCTTCCGGTCTAAAACATGGCAGCTAGCTTCACCAGACAGTAAGTACTGCAGGATGCTGTGGTGCTTGTTTACAATCTGATGGAAGAAAGCTATCCCTCAATAGGCTAAGTGCAAGTAAAATTTTGACTTAATAGCTTCATTTCTCTTTGGTCTTTAATTAGCAAAAATTCTTATATTTAACAACTCCCACTCAAAATATGCCTTCTAAAAATCTATACACATCCACTGAGTTTGCCTAGACTGTACCAGTAGCTCTTATAGATGCACAGAGCCACCACCCTTTAAGTAGGAAAGAAAAAAAAGAGGCCTACAGGGGTTCTCTCTTTGTTGCTATTCTGCACATAAAGCTGCAAAGAATGTTAAAAAACAAAAAGGCTTTCAGCTGCTGAATACATTTACTAGTACAAACCTAGCACAGGGAACAGAAAAACTAAAACTGTGACCAAATAAAAATTCAAGTACTTTAGACATTGTTTTAGGGAAAAGTTTGAAAACAAGTATGTACGTAATAGACATTAGAAAACTATTTCCTGAAGTTTTGAATTTAAGGAAACAAAAACCTGGCAACTGGCATGTGAGTCTAAATCCTCTCCATTCAGACCTCCTCTCTTGTCTTCGTGTGAATTTTTCCAAATAGCAGCGTATGCTCGTCACCTTAACTTCCATCTACAATCTGGTGACTACCACCCTGACCTGAACTACCTGCTCTGCCTGTATTCAGCTATTAGCCAAATTCTATGGACCCTTTTCAAACCACATTCTACCCTAACCCTGGGCCCATTTATCACCAATGAAAACTCCTTTCCTGACCCTCTTCTCTTCAGCCATCTGCAATACTGCTACTTCTGTTAAACTCCTTAACCACTTCACTTTAATCCTGTCCAAAACTAAATGCTGGCTGCTCCCTACAGTTCTCTGTCCCCTCCTCTTCCTACCCTCTATTAATCTGTGCATGGTCCAAGTGTAAGTTTCACAGTTATACATGTGGACATTTTCCCTCTCTTCCACTAATATTCATGAGATTTTACCCCCACCGCAGAAAAGTGAAGGATATCTGTTCAAATACTGAGCGATCACCTAACTTGTAATGCCAACTACACAATGATACTATGTATTGAATCCTCCACAACTCTGTTCCAGACATTTGATAGTTTTGGGATATATCTACCTAAAACTTTGCCTAATTCTGCTCCTCTTCCTCTATTTCACAAATTAAATCAAAGCAACATTCTGGCAAACTAAAGAAATTCTGAACCCTATTTGACTCTTTCCTATGTAACAGCCTACTGCTTGTATCCCTAATTGCTGTTTCAAAATTATTATAAAATACTTAACTTTTCGACCCTTTAGGCTGATGTCTCTCAAAAAGACCTTAATGAACTCTGTAAACCCAGTGTCTTGACCTCTTTGATCCAGCCTCCACATTTTCACTGTGCCTATGTATGTCACATCCACCATCTCTCCACCTCTACCCACCTGAACTCAGTGGATTACCACATACACAAGAAGCCATTCTAATACTTTAAGAGCCCAAGGCTGTTCTCTGACAGCTGCGACTTCTTATCACCCTGTTCTTGCACCATTTCACAGTCCAAGTATAATTTAACTGTAGACATCTGCTGCTTTTCCCTGAAATGCCCAACTCAACCTGACAAATCCTTATTGGTCTAAAATTCAGTTCAAAGATCGTTGAAATAACTCCTTCAAGTTTCCCAGCAGAATAAGGTTCTCCTTCGTTAAGTACATGAGGAATGCTTTATATTACAATCACAAACCCTGATGTGTACTAGACTTTTCCATTTGTCTTTCTCTCTGCAGTACTGTAAATCCACTTAGAACTGAACATAACTGACTTAATACGAAACAATCTGAGTACCCTGAATTTCCCACTTGTTTATACATGTGCTATTTTGTCTACAAAAAACACTAGGCGAAGACAGAAAACTGCAGCAGCTGAACTGAGCTAAACAAAAACACACAAAACATATACAAGAACATCACCAGCTAAGTCGGTTCCTCCAGGGTTGTGAACCACACCTATACATTTCTGGTGTCACAACTTCCCACGATTTCAGCTAACCCTACTACCAATTCACAGTAACCCCTCACATCTACCTGCTCAAATAAACCACATTTTTCCAAGTACCGGAGTTATGGTAGTACTTAATCATTTAATGTGAAAAACATGCTACCATTCTTATCAAGCTCCTGTTTTTTAATGTTTTTGAGCGCTGTATCCCAATTTCATTTTCTCCCTATACAGTTTCAATATTCCAATTCCAGTAATTCAGAGAAAAAGACCCTGCCTTCCCCCAAAATTTCACAAAATGTTTACAGACCACATCGGAAACCATCGGAATACTACTAACAGCCTGACTGCTTTAATTTTGGTGAGCACAGGGTTGATTTTCCATCTACGTTCTTTAGCACACCTATGCCTTGCCTCTCAGAAGCCAAGTTCACAGATCTGAGCTTCCGTGTATGCCATTTTAGGGTTTCTGCTGCTTTTAACATCTTCCAAAACATATGAATGCTTTCATTTTACATGATCTTGTATTACAGAGCAAGTGTGTAGTCCTCAAGCCCACTACAAAAGGAGCCAGACACCATATCAAAGTTAAAAACAGACTTAGTCACTAACTGCATAGTATTTGTGACTTGATTCTTATTCACAGTCTCCACTCTATCACCCACAATGATACCAAGTTGATCTTCAAATCAGTTTGTTCCTTTCTAAAAATATTTTTATTCCTGCTTTTGCTATAGGAGAAAGGAATAAAGTTTCAGCTTAGCAAGCACACGACTTCAAAATCTAGGGCAGACACACCTTTGTAAGGCCTAAGTCAAGCCCACGTTCCCGTGACATCTTACCACTGGCCTTACCCCAACATCTGACACCTCACTACACTTACAGTTCTTGTTTGGAATGAACCCCCCCCAAATTTGGCAAGTGTTACTTTTGTAAACTGGCACCACACCCTTCATAAGTTTAATCATTCTTTCTATTCCTTTAAGTACTCTGTATCCTATGTAGGGACAAGGTAGATGTATTCATCTTTGAATTCCTATTGTCTACCTTTACCACTAACACATGCTATTCCTTGACATGCAACTCATCAGGAAAATATAAACAGACAAGAGAAAAGCCCAAAAGAAGGGTAAAGTCACCGCAGCCTTGGATGAGCCTCCATCTTAGTCAAACAACCATTTTCTTTTTAAATTACTTGTTCAAACATCAAAATCTGTTGTACTTAAATGTACATATGATATGCATGTACTATGACCACAATCTATTTGGTCATTATTTCTTAAATTTCACTGCAGCGTGGTTACCTCCATAACATGATTAGCAAATAAAGGAAAAATGTACATCAACAAAAGATTTTGTAAAAACTAAAAGGTTTGAAAATTAAAACAAACTTTTTCTAGAACGTGCATTAAGTTCTAAACACAACAGTGTATATAGTACCACATACTCATAAGTCCTCATCTTTTCTTTAGTGGGCATTTTCAAAGTGACAAACCCTTTAATTCAGAGCTTCCTAACCAGCGGACCTTGCACATGGGAGAGGGTTACAAATGTGCTAAAACTACTGACCCCTCATGCACTTGAGAACTAAAGAATACAAGTGTAGGCTGCCAATCACTTAATCCAATACACTTCACATCTTTCTCTGCTGCACTCTGTAAAACTGTTTACAAAACATAAGGCTAACATGGGTACAGTGGGATCTCTATATTAACCAAAATACTAGTCAAAACTACACATACAGCAGGCAAATTCCTACAATGCCTTCATTTGTAGTCAGGACCAAGGTCTGAAACCAAGCTCAGGTCTATTCAAAAGCAACTATCTGAAATTTCCCAACAACTGTAGTTCTACTTTCCCAACAAGATTTAAGAAATCTGCAAAGGCCTAAAAAAAATGGAAAAGGCTGCATCACCACTGATCAAGACACATCTGCAATTACACAAGGACTGACTTTCAGTGAGAAGAAAATGTCTTCTGTCAATACTCTACTTGATGGTGTTAGCACCTTACCTACCCTCGTGCTGAGCAATGACCAGATTGATCTACCTTAAATAGTACCCACCTGTTCAAACACCCCCTTCCCTCTCCAAAGAATATTTAACAATTATGTCCACTTAACACATGCTGTCACAAACACATACAACCTGACCTTTCCCCTCAGAGCTACAGTATCTTGGTCAAGTCACATTAATCTGTTTACTTCCTCATGGCAGCTGTTCAAATATTTTAAAGTATTTTAAAGTGCAAGAATTAGACTAGACCTCTGGTCTAATGCAATTTTAACTCTAAAACTTATTCTAAAAAGCATCACATTCTGAATACTGGCTGGCAACTGTCTTAACAGCAATTACAGAAATAAAATTAAAAGTCTTCAAAAACTTTTGCTCAACGGCCCTATCAGCTTCTCCGGCCCTACACAACTGTTGTGGAATATCGTGATTTCTAGCGCCCTGTGGAAAATACAAAGTGCTGCTACACACCAAATTATTTTTCACTTAGTCGTGTTCTCGCTCTTCCTCTCCAAAGTTAAAACCCCAGACACAAGCAAGACTAGAGCTAGCTATCAAGACAGTCCGCCTGTAAAACAGGTAATCACAGAAAGTCAAGGTCAAGTATTTTATTTCTGAACGTCTGGTTTACACAGTAACAACGTTGCCAAGACGATGAAGCAACATCATCATTCACAATGTTGTCATTTGTAGTAACAGTTAAAAGAAAAAGACTACAAGTGTCGATCGAGGAGAAAAAAAAAAAAGTCACAGCCGGCAGGAAAAAAGAGTTATCAAAGAAAATTAAAACCGGCCAGATGTGATTCGGTTAAACTGGAAAACTGCTTCGAGGAAATAGTACTGAAGTCCTGACTACAGCGTAAAATAATCTCATCAAGTGGTTAATTGCTTCTTTGGTCTCGCAATCCGCTCCGCCCCTAACGATAAATACCTGCATTAAATTAACTTTAAAAGTTTTCTGGGGCGGGGGAAAAGAGGGTGAACACTAGGGGGGTACGCGCGTCTGCAGAGTGCCAAGTTCCACGCTCCGCCGTGAGCCATCCCACACCACTTCTCCAAAGTTGCCACCCGTCCGGGCACGTCTCCAGGGGGAGGTGGCCGGGGCCGAGGGGACGGGGGGAGGGGAAGGGAATGGGACGGGGACGGGGGTGTCCGAGAAGCCACGGCGCCCGCCACCGCCACTCTGCGCGCCCCCGGCCCCCCGGGAACTCCACGCGGGAACGCGCCCCGGGGACCCACGGAACCGCGGCCGAGGGGGGCGCGCAGACGTCACTCACGAAGTACCAAGGGCTGCGCAGAGCGCGGGCCCCGGGCTATGGGGCCGCCGCACAGGTACCAACTGGGCCTCGCTCGGGCCGTCGCGCTCACCTCTCCAGCTGCGCCGCCTTCCTCCTCCACTGCCGCCGCCTCCTCCCGGTGAGTGCAGCGCGGTCTGCCCTGTGGAACCACCATACCAGTCCCGCCCGCTGCCGCAGCGCCGCCGCCGGTCTTTGTTTCCCCCGGCGAGCGCCGCCGCGCCTCTGCCGCCCCGACCCGCCGCCGCTACGCCGTCCCGCTCGCCCGGCCCCCGCCGCCGCCGCCGCCGCCACCGCCGCCGCCGCCTCCTCCTCCGCGCCCCCCTCGTTTTCATTGAAAGCAAACAAGCATCATGGCGGCTGCCGCCGTCCCCCTCCACCCCCAGCCAGCGAGAGCCCGGCTGGCCGCCGCCTCGCCAACATCGCGGCCTCCCATTGGCTGCCGTGGCTGGGCGCGACCATCCCGCGGAAGGCGGGGGGGTGGCTCTGCACAGCAGGGGCCCGAGGAGAGGCCCCGACCCCCGCGCGCCATGCAGTGAACTGGCCCGGCGAGCTCAGTCCGCCTGGGGTGCCGGCTTCCCGCGCACCAAGCCTTCTGTCTTCTCGGCTTCCTAGTGCTCCTCCTTGGCCTCAGCTAGCCCTCTTCGTTCCTCGCTCACTTTTATCTCCACTTTTTCCTTGATCTTCCTCCTCTTGGTTCTCTTCCTTTTCCTTAGGCCTTGATCTGTCCATCACTTGGGAGCACAGATCAGCTCTCAGACTTTTAACCTTAGCCAGTGCCTTTAAAAAATATATTTTACTTACTTTTATTTTATGTGTATGATTGTATTGTTTGCGTGTATGTAAGTGCACCCGTGTCGTGCAATGCCCGAGGAGGTCAGAAGAAGGCATCAGATCCCCTGGAACTGGAATTAGGATGGTTATTAGCCACCATGTGGGTGCTGGGAATCGAACGCGGGTCCTCTGCAAGAGCAGCCAGTGCTCTTAACCACTAAACCATCTCTCCAACTCCTAGTATCTCTTTTTTAAAAGTTTATGTGTATAAGTGTGTTGCCTGCATGTAAGTGCACCCGTGTTGTACAATGCCTGAGGAGATCAGAAGAGGGCGTCAGGTCACCTGGAACTAGTTACAGCCCGTTGTTAGCCCGTTGTTAGGAGGACCCGGGTCCTCCTCCGCAAGAGCAACTCGTGCTCTTAACCGCTAAGACATCTCTCTAGCCCCTTAGCCAGTATCTTAATCTACCCAGAGAGAAACATTCAAACTTGAACAATTCGATAATTACTGCCTTAACTATGAGATAGAAAAAAATGGACAGTTTGGGATAATGGGGTTCCTACCTTAAATAAGGATCCATAGCTACATTCAAATATGTTCTATTTAGGGCAAAACAGATGGTTGCAGGTAAACTGAGAAAGAAATGGCCTGACTCATGATGCTTGCATCAGGGAATATTAGTTGACTAGTGGACTGGTAGTTTGGGCACAAGGATGAATCAGACTCCACCCTGTCTTGAGTAAGTGTCGCACCCAACAAACATCAGGTCATTGGAGATGTATACTGAAGGGTATGGTGTGAAGAAAAGGTATTAGCTGCCTCTACCTCCATGGCAAAGTAGGATGTACTCCTGGCACTTTCCTGGAAAAATCCCAGAAGAAAAGAGAGTGAAACGGGTTCTAGGAGCTAGCCAGGAAGAAACACATGAGGCTCACTGAAGTTGTCTTGGGAAATGGGTAGCTGTTGCCTGAGGCAGAGAGAACTGGCAGAGCAAAGGGTTGAGGTACAAAAGCCTTTCCAAGAACCAGATAGATGTTCTGTTCAGGGCAACAGCTCATGCTTGCCTCTACCCAGCATTCCTTTGAGCTATTCATTGCCATTTGCCAGGGCTGTAAGGACAGTCTAAGCTTTAGTGCCATGGGACACTGGAAAAGGGCAAGGCAATGCAAAAAGCCCAGGACACAACAGGAGTTAGTAAGAACAGAGACAGACTAGGTACCTGAGACATCCCTACAGAACTCCAACCCCTAGGCTGCTGGAGTTGTTCAGTGCCTATTCAATACAAAGGGTGTATCTGGCATCCTGCTGGGCCTCTCCCATTCCAGTGTGGTGCCCTGGCAACCTGTACTCCTGCCTGGAGATGAGGGTCCCTTTTTGTAATTCATCTGCCCAAAGGGAGCAACCTTTTTGTGATTGGCCCCATGTTTATAGGGAACAGAAGTCTAGTTGCATAACAAAAATCATAGCTGCATTATGCAACAATTTTATTTCATGATGCCGATGCTCAGTTGGACAGTTCTGCTGGTCTCACTGTTCTCTTGTGCCTGCACCTCCCAAAGGTGGCTAAATGTTGGTTATCTGGAACCTCAGTGTCCCTTAGTAAGGCTCCTCCCTCTTCTTTCTCCTGCCTTTCTAGGTGATCTCTTCTCCAGTTGGAGGTAACCCTCCACTTCACACAGGGCAACCCAGGCCTCCAAGAGGAAGGAAATAGAATTCCCCAGGTCTTCTGAAGTATGCCGCTTCCTCCCTATTCCTTCCATCAAGCAGTCACAGGTCTAGTCTGGATTTAGAAGAAACATGAGCTAGGAAACAACTGCATGATGTACAGGGACTGGTGGACTTATTTGGAGCCATCAAGGTAGACTAGCCCCATAAGTGCCAGGGTCCCCAGAAATGCACGGTTCAGTCCAAACTGAAACTCATGGAGACTGCCCAGTGAAGCAAATCTAACTTTTTTGCAAAATGAACTGAATTGCTTTGGAACCAGAATGTTTGTGGTAGAAGATCCATGAGTGTTCCAGTTGGTAAGTACAGGGAAAGCCAAGCCATACTAGAGATTGCTTAATAAGCCTGAAATAGGGCCCTGAGCATCAGAACGTCTGACATGTCCTCTGTAGAACTGGAGTGTTGGTGTCCAGGAACTATCACCAACAACCTAAGTCCCTTTCCCTTCCGTAGTGCCAAGGGCATTAGTATATCCTGGCCATCTACCTCCCCCTTCTCTGGACTCGAGGCCTCTTATGTTTTCCTCAGACAGGGTGTGGTATAGAGGATAAAAGCTGCAGGTGCCAATCATGCCTTCCCCTTACTAGCCATTATCTTTGGCTTTGCTGTATTAGACTTGAATCGTTTCGAATTCAGTTCAAACAGATTAAGGAAAAAGAAAGGAAAAGGAATTATCTGGCTCAAATAGCTTTATAGCCCAGGAAATATATACCACCCTCAGGTGTAGCTTGATCTGGGGGCTAGTCATCCTAAGCTCTACTCATTCCCATGGTGACCGTATCATCAGGCATCATATTGAAGCAGAATGAATGCCAGTTCCCACAAAATTCGAGCCTGGCAGTAAAGAACTTCACTCTACAGTCAAAACATATGTTCCAGGCCTAACTTCCATTTCTATCCCTGAACCAAATACCAGGTTCAGGAGAATGTCATGCCATGGCCAGAAAGAAGTCACATGCCTCCCCCTCTTCTCACCCCCCTCAAGCCAAGATTGAATTGACAGGATTCAATTTCTTACAAAGAATATGTGGAAGAAATGGAGGAGTAAGCAGAGGGAGGAAAATGTAGTTGCTGTTGTTGGAAAAAGAAAAATGAGAGAGAGAAATGCATAGATAGGCAGGAAGAGGCAAAGTCTTAAGGTCTGTTGGCCATCAGGTCTCCTGCACTCATGGGGCCCGACAGCCTCTTTTCCACATGCCTCACTTGTCTTGGCTTCACTCTTGTATGTGGAGTTGGGAGAAGATGCCTGGAAGCCTTATAAAGTGGGAAATAGGGAGGACTCCCATTCCAAGCTCAGTGTACTCCCTGAAGACTCATCATAGAGGACCGATCAGAAGGGAATGAGGCAAGAAGCCTGTTTCTGTTTTTTAAGTGTGTGTGTCACAATTTCATGGATTAAACCAGCTTTTCATTGTTATACAAGTACTTAGTAGAGTTTGGTGTATGGCTCAGTGGGTGAGTACTGGCCTGCACAGATTCTGGGTTAGATCCTCACTTTAAACAATTGTTAGTCATGGATTTGGAAGAAAATAAAACTTAAAAAGCAGAAAGGCATGAAGAGGAAAGTGTATGTCTCACCCTGATTCCCACCTGACCACACCCGTAAAAGGTGAGCATTTGGATTAATTACAGTGAGTCTGCCTTAAATAACAAAACAAGATAAATCTCAAATTCAATTACTAGATAAAGATAATTACTCCAAAACTAGAAGTCCGAACTTAGGGTATTCTAATTCCAAAAGGTTGATTGCCCTAACTTTAGCTCAGTATGTATGCTGAGAATGTCTTGAAACAAGACAATTTTTTGAAGAGTATATGAACCATGTTTCAAATAATATACCTCATATATTTTTGTTTCACTACCAGATACCATTTCAGATGAGTGAACTCTAAATTTGAACTATTGGGTCCAGTTCTCCCATCCAGAGGTGGTGGGTAGGGATATCCAGAGGGCTAGGGAGATGGCTCAGTGGGTAAGAGCACTTCCTGTGTAAGCATGCAGATACCCAGCATCCTCCTCTGACTTCTGAATGCATGTGCACACTGGTACACTCACATGCAGCACATACACACACACACACACACACACACACACACACTGCAGACAGTCTTGGACACCTGATTTGTATCTACCATGCTCCTTCCAGAGTTTTCCGATGGTTTGGGCATTTATGTCAGGCAAGCATGGCCCTCAGAAATTTGGCCAGGAACCAGAAGGTGATTTGGCATCAGCTCTGATGTGTAGGGTGGAGGTTGGAATTCAGTTTTGGCAGTGCTGGAAAAACTTGGAGATTCCTCCCACCTCAGACATTGCAAGTTGCCAACACCTACAGGTGACTAATCACTGATGTGCTCCTGGGTGAGGAGCATTTCCAGTTACCTTGCTCCTTAGTATGAGATGTGAGGTGTTAGAGTGATGGCAGAAGCCTGAACTGGGGAGTCAGTTTGTTACAGAGATTGGCCTGAGTGTTGAGAGAAGGATGGCTTCGTGGGTGGCACATAGCAACAGGCAATAAGACTGTTCCCAAAGCTGTTCTTACAACCTGTCATGGTTGATCTCAGTTGTCAACCTGACTGGATCTGAAATCAACTAAATGAATTACATAGTAGGTCTCTGTGAGGAATTTTCCTTTTCTTTTTTTTTTTTCTTTAGACAGGGTCTCAGGGTCTTGTTATATAGCCCTGACTGGCCTAGAACTTTCAGAGATCCTCCTCGTGAGGATTTTCTTGATCAGATGATTTGAACTGAGAACCCCTCCCCCATAAATGTGGGTGGCGCCTTCTGGTGGCAGCCCAGATAAAG